TATTGGGCTCAAGGGGGGGGGGGGGGTGGGGTGTAGGAGGCTTGTTGGTCCAAGTCAAGGGGTGAAGTAAGACATGTTGGCCCAAGTCAAGGGGTGGGCGAATTATTGTGTGGACCATAATAAAAAGTATATTTTTAATATATTAAATGTACATTATTTTTGTACTGAATGTATATTATTTTACGGTAGACAAAATATGATCCACACAATAATGATTGAAGGGGGTGGGGGAGGAACAACCCAAGATGGGAGGGGGGGGGGGTGGGGTGCTACCTCTGCCCAATGGGGAGGCGGAACCACAATCATTATGTTGTGCAACCGTGTGCACCATGCATGGTGCACACGGTTGTGAACGACGCCGTTTCATTATGGTGGAGTAACAGTGTCGTTAGTGGCACCGTTTAACTCCACCAATCATTTATTAAAAAAAAAAACTCCAATCGACGGGATTTTCACCATTTTCGGCATGTATATATAGTTCAGTAATTCTGGATATATAGTTCATTAATTCTGGATACATAATTCATTAATTCTGGATATATAATTCATTAATTCTGAATATACTTCACTAATTCTGAATTTATAGTTCATTAATTCTGAATATATAGTTCATTCATTCTGAATACACAGACGCAACGAATTGTCATAAGCCAAAACAGAGTACTAGTAACCTATGTGGATATATAGTTCACTAATTTTAGATATATAGTTCATTAATTCTGGATATATAACACAGCTTAACGCCGTTAACAACAATCAAAAATAATTTTTTTTTTTAAGTGGAATGCGTTGTTTTTAATCAAAACGACGCTATTTTTTGCAACCGTATGCACCATGCATGGTACACACGGTTGCACGGCATAATTTGCAGCGGAACCAGCCTTGGGCCTCGTTGCGGTCCTGTGATCTGCGGAAGTGCGGAAGAACTGAAGAATGCGATTAGAATTGAGGAAATATGATTTTAATTTAATTTTATTATATATATATTAAAATAAACCTCAATGATGAGTGACCATGCCTAACTACCTTATGTAAAAGAATCATGCTAAACCTTTTACTTTTCATCGTATTTCTTGTGAGTGGTGGTTAGGAGAGTTCAATCTAACATCCTGCTATTGAAACATAAACAAGTATAAAGAAATAAAATTGAACATTCATTACAAACTAAACTATAATATTTTAGAGTAGTTTACTTTACACGAATGAAAAAAATGCAGAGAAATAAGTATTTTCGTATATAAAATTAGCCAACTTGCGGTTGACTCTGAGCTGTATGTGATGGAAGCATGGTGGTTATATATATATAAATATAAATCCTAATTCCTAACGTTCATTGATCACATTGTGTTGATCGGAGACAAGAAAGTAAATGGAAAACTACAATTGTAATTGTCAACCGCCGGCTTACGTTGGAGGCTTCATTGGCTCAATGTCCTGGCCGCAGGTGGTCGGTCTGCCCGGAGAAGTGGCTGCTTCTCTAATTGCAGCTGAGAAACCAGATCTGAAAATCGAAATGGTCAACGGTCCGCCATGGGCGTTGACTCAAGATCTCTGTGACAATCGAGTTCGAATCCTCGTTAATGTTTTCACCAACAAAGTCGTTGCAACGCCTACAACTGGTTGAGCCACCACTGCAGCTCCTCGATTCAGCCGTTACGTACAGTATTGGACGGTGGAGATGTGTTGCGATCCACCGATCCGTGATGTGGATATTGAGTCTTTTGTGTTTCAGTGAGTTCTACTTTGTGTTTAATGTGAAATGTGAAATTGGCATTACTTTCTCGAAGTAATGTGGGAATAAGAAAGTGTAAACTTAATTTGTGTGTTTAATTAAATTTGTGAAACTATAATATGTATATGTTTCAACGTACATAAATATTATTAAGACTATGTGGTCTAATGGTATTTGAATTGGATTTTCATTTGGAAGGTTGTGAGTTTTAACTTTGGTGGAGGCATTATTGGGTAGCATTTAAAAAAAAAATGTACATAAATACTTTTAATTTTGTTTTCTTTGTGAAATTAATTTACATTTTGTTTTATGTAATTGTTTCTCTCATATAAACTTCCAAACATATGTTAACATGTATTTTTTTTTTTCTAAAACAATGTTGTTTTACTAACAAAGTTCTTTTCCTCCTAATTGAATGCAATGAAAGTTCTACATATTTATAAAAATAATAATTTATTTTTCATTTAAGTATATATCACATTTTTTTTTGAATACTATTGACTTTATTACAAGATAGTATCTGTTCTATATTTTTTTTTTGACTCTATTACAAGGTAGTATCTGTTCTATATATATTTTTTAATTACGAAGCCCAAAGAGTCATTACATATTTATTTATTTAGAGGTGTGACATATGTACTTATTTATGCAATGTAGTTTTTCATGTATTGCTTTTAAGAAAACTTGCATCATTTAAGGGGAAAAATATGTATCCCTCTGTCCAATTTTATGTAACTGGTTCGGTTAATCAAGTTTAATTAAAGTTATTTTTACTTCAATTTTAAATTTAGTATTAGCACATCAAATTTGTAAATTTATTAAGAAACTATATTAAAAGTACTATTAAAAAAATTAAATTTAAAAATAATTAAAAATACTAAAGAAAATAAATAAAGAAGAAGGAACTTGTTTGACCAATGAATAGTAAACATGACATTTAAAAGGGGACAAATGAAGTGTTATTTTAGGTTAAATACTAGACTTGATAATTTATGTAAATGGGTTTGTTATGGGTTAACGCAATAATGAATAATGACACAGTCACACAAACATGATAATCTTACATAAAGACACAAAGTGTTAAAGTTAAGAGAAACTTGCATTTTTCGTATCTAAGTTATACGGTAAATTGGTAATTGTAGAAATTTACCTTTAATTATTGGTTTTGCTCACTTTTCGCCCTTAAACTATCGTTGGTGTTATATTTTTCGTCCTTTTATTAACTTCTCGTGCTCACTTTTCGTCACTAAACTAACTTCTCATGCTCACTTTTCATCACTATTGTTTTGTTAGCAATGAGATTAGGTGTTTTGGTGTGCCTAACCATGAACTAAGGTTGAAGGTAGGTACTCCGGTTATGTTATTGAGAAATATTGACCACTCAATTGGTTTGTGTAAGGCACAATGATGGTCATTATTGAACTTGGAAATCATATTTTAAAAGCAAAGGTATTATTTAATTTGGAAGTAGTGCAAGTCATAAAGTTTTTTTTTTTTTTTTTTTTTTTTTTGAAATACAAGTCATAAAGTCTTGATTCCAAGAATATCATTACCTTTGCCAGACTTGAGACTGCCTTTTAAATTTCAAAGAAGACAATTCAGTTTATTTGTCTCTTATGCAATGATGATTAACAAGAGACAATTGTATGTTGTTTTTTCAAGAGTCACCAACCCAAATGGTTTGGATATTTTGATTTGTGATAAGAACACCCAAAGGTAATTCCACACCAAACATTGTATATAAGGATGTTTATTTTCCAAAATTTGTAAACCTTAGCTTTAATAATATACTATTTAATCATAATGTTAGACTTAAATATATATCACATGCATATAATATGTGATACATGATCGACTAACCGCTCGCCATAGTTCTTGAGACGATTGAATGATCCGGACTGCAGAGATAACACAAGTATTTTGTCTCTCACTTTACTCAACTCTCTCTAGATGGTGTATGAGGTATGTAATGTGAACAGTGAGAGGACTAGTGACCTTATATAACCACTGGTCATCATTGTGGTTGTATGTCTTTAGGTCTCCTAAGCCCTAACTAGACTCCTAATCATTATGGTAGTCTAGCTATTAGGTTACTAGTGTTGCACCACATATAAAATACTGAATATTATCATAACTTATCGTAATGTTATAATAATAGTAACGGATAGAACGTTACACATAATTGTTTTATGCTTTTCTACAATTATTTTTTATTTTTCTAATTTCTTCCTTAATTCACCATATCATGATTGTTTCTGTGCATTGCATGGGTAAATTTATGGAATATTTTCTTATCTAATTTGAGTTGATTACCATTGCAACAAGCTAGAGAGTTGTCTATGCTATAACTCTGCTTTCCGACCTACTTTGGCTTCTATAACGTTGAAAACTTGAAATTAAGATTGTGGTATTCATAAAATTTGTTAATTATTCTTTTATTTCGCTTTTCAATGCTTTTAGAATCACATTAATTAGACATTTTTACATTAAGATATGACCAAAACATTGAGCAGTATTCATCTTGGCCATGAATTGTGACTTCACATTCTTTTGTTTCGCTTTTGCTTGCATTGATTTGCCTGTATGATGAAAATCATTCGAAGCACCAATGTTAGATTTATCAAGGAGTGTTGTACCCATTTCTTCAACTCTAAAAGTCTTCCCAATGTGCCACCTTAATCAACAAAAACATTAAAAAAAAAAAAAATGCATCAGCTACTTCAAACGAAAATCATATGATACAAAATCAACACAAATCACTTCAAAGTCTAAAGTAGGAAAGTAATTAAAATAGACTTAAAAGGCCAATGCAAATTAAAGTGTATTAAATATGCATTTTTTTGTTTAATTAAAGGGATAATATAAATAACTAAAACATAAAATTATAAAAAAAAAAAAACAGGATTAATTGTAAAATCTAAAAGAATTTGTTAGTGTAGAAGAAATCAATCATAACATACAAAATCAATACAAATCACTTCCAAGAGTTTAATTGAGGAAATTTTAAACAATTCAAGGATCAAGTTAATTGAAATTGAAAAATAACACTAAATTGACAGTTGAAAAACAAATAAGGGGCCAAAATAATGATTTCCTTTTCTTAAATATATATTTCAATTAAAAAAATTAAACCTAATCCTTTCGAAACAAAATTAAATGAATTCAATCAATCAAATAATATCAAATAATAGTAACAATGAGCTGTGTGTTTTAATTGAAATATTCCTAACTAACTGCTATTCAAGCAAGTATTTGTGTTCCCGCGCTATTAGCATTTCTCGTACCTACAAATGTAACTCAACCCAACCAAAACCTCTGCAATGGCGGCTTCGGTTTTTTCCTTGTCCGAAAAATGCAGTGTCTGCCACGACAAAATTGTCGGTTTCGTGTCGAATTTAATCTTCTCGAATTTCCTCTCCATCTGCCACGTAATGGTGTTGTGCGCCATCGGCGCCAGCCACCCCATGATGTGGCATAGCGCCTCCCTCCACCACATCGCCAGCGACGAGTCATCGTCGCGGCACCTCATGCTCTTTCTTAGCTTCGATTTCACCGAGGATTTCAGATTCTCCGGCAACATTTGGTAGAGCGATGCGCGGAAATCTTCGTCCATTGATATTGTCGGGTCTAAGTACTTTTCTACGGATAGGATCACGTTTGCGTACCGTAATGCTAAGCCCGACCCGCCCACAGTTGTTGGCCCAGCGGCGTGGAGAATTTTGTCTTTCTTAGACGACTCTCCGAACGGGTTTTCTCCCCGAAAGACAAAGACCGATTTTTGGCTGTAGAATCGGACGGAAATGGGTTCCGCCTTGGACGAGAGCGGGCCGGAATGCGAAGTGATTTTTCCGTTTTTAGGTTCAATAAAGCAATAATCGGGCTGGACAAGCAGAATATCCCTGTCCGGAGGGGGAGTTTTGCGCAAGGGGAAGGAGGGCAAAATGGGAAAGAACGGCCCGAAGACTGAACATATCCGGGCGTAGAGGATGCATACGAGTCGGGCCATGAGCCCGACGCAGTTATCAAACGTTTTTGTCCACAACGAAGTATCTTTATAATGATTAACAAGCTTGCGTTGGTACTTAACCCGTTGGGCGAACATTTCCAAATTTGCCCTTCCCTTCCATTGCTTCGTTTTCCTCTCGCAAATCTCAATCTCCGACTGAACTTCCAGCGCGACGTATAACTCCGCCGTCGCGGAAACCAATTTCTCCATCTTCTCCACCTTCTTCTGGGTGTCCTTGGACCCGTATTCTAACCGACCAAAATCAACGATCCCGAGTTTAAGGTCGGTGTAAACGAGGTCGAAGCGGTTGAGCTCATAATCCTTGCAGCGGTGGCTGAGCCGCGCCACGGCGGCGGTGGTCTTGTCGAGATCCTCCAGGCGCTCGGCGCAGGCGAGGCTGAAAAGCAAATTATCGTCGTCGGAGTTCAAGAACGCCACCCCCTGGGACTTCATTTCCTTCCTGAGCACGACGAGGTGGTGGTCGGAGAGGGATTTGTAGAGGGAGAGTAAACGCGACATGGTTTTGGCGGCTTCGAAGGCGAGAATCCCCAACTGGTCGTCATTCTTGGCATCGCCGCGGGGCTTGCGGTGATCATGGTGACCAACTCGCGAAGCAATCTCCGGGAGACAACCCATGGGTCGGATTAATAATTAAACACAAACCATATATTCGATCGATTGCGTCGCCGGCCAATGTAGATTGGTTTTTTTGCGGGCTTAGGTACAACGTTGGCGATCGAAATGCGGTGTTGTTCGGTTCGGGTTGAGAATGTTTTCTGATCTGGTCTGGGCCGAGAGACAGAGGAGAGATGGGGAGTATTTGAGGGAGGAGAAATGGAGCTTCGGAGGACATTCATGGGGTGGGTCCCCACACGAGAGATTAGAGGGGGTACGGTGGATTATAATGTTAAGACTCAAGAGACGCGTTTGGACTTCTTTTTTTCTTTCTTTCTTTTTATATAAATAATGGAGTTAATACCCAAAATCGTCCTCGACTATAGTGGTTTTTCTCAATTTCGTCCTAAACGACTTTGGTGACCTAATATTATCCCAGACTTTTGTGTTTCGTTCAATTTAGTCCTCCATTTGTTATTCCGTCAAATTGGTGTTAAATAAAGGGACAATTCAATAATGTCAATATTGATCTCTCTTTACTTTCAACTTGTGAAGTGCGAAATTCCTCTTTCTTGTACGAATTACACCCAGAATTACTCCCGGACCTGCAAATCAAATTTTATATTCGCAGTTTTAGGAGTAATTCGTAAAAAAAAAAAGGATTTCGCAGTTCACATGTCTATGAGTAAAGAGATGCCAATATTAAAATTACTGAATTGTCTATTTATTTAACACCAAATGGACAGAATAACAAATGAGAGACTAAATTGAGCAAAAACACAAAAGTCTGGGACTAAATTGAGCGAAACACAAAAGTCTGGGACGATATTAGGTCACCAAAGTCGTTTAGGACGAAATTGAGAAAAACCACTATAGTCGAGGACGATTTTGGGTATTAACTCATAAATAATGTGAATTAATTAAGAATAAGGTTTGAAATAATTGGAGATGGAGGAAATCACGACTAAGTTGGTCGAACTGTTAGCTTAGTAATTTGTAATTACGAAATTTCAAGTTCGACTCTCAATAAACTTTGTTAGTTTGAGTCAGTCTTGTGTCAATCGATTAAGAGCAGTAGAGTTTACTCGTACACACCTTTAAATAGTGGTTGCCGATAAAAATGGGGAGGAAAAATTCACTTAAATATTTCCACGTCAAGAGGCATAACAACAATGGTACCAAGTGTGTTGGATTCTGTCACTGTCGAAAATGTAAATAGTTTCGTGTGAATATATACTTGAGATCGGAGTTCATAAACTACGATAATTTTGACCATTTCTTCGCCCCGAAAAAGTTTTCCATGAAATATATTGTACGTACATTTTATCAATTGGTGTGGCATATAAATATATAATGTGTCACAATTACTCCATATTTACTAATTATTCATGAATTTATCAATCATGTTACGAATTAATTATGTTAAACTATGTTAGATGGTAAAAGATTTGATACGTATACAAACTCTGTCCATGTAATATTGCCCAATTCAATATTCTTTTGCAATTAATTGCGGAGTATATTGTATTATTTTTCTTTTACCAATTCTTATTAACATACATCACAGTATAATCTATGTTATGATTAAATTTTATATGCACATTATTAACATTCATATTATGGATATATGTCACTCGGTAATGAACAATTAATTTGAGCTTGGGTCAAGTAGGACAAAATGCCTTAGAAGCCATGAAATGCACTTCAGAAGGTTGGCATGCCAAAACCAACGACACTTGGGACGCCCACCCTATGCAATTATTAGCATTTTAGCCGTAATTACAAGAAAATTCATATTTGTACATCCATCTTTAATCCATTAGCTTTCTTGTACGTAATGGCTAATTTTTTATTTTTTATTTTGAAAGCCAAAAAATGTGGAATATATTAATGCAGCAAATCATGCAAAAAAAGAGGGAGGAACAATGCAACATCCCTCCAGATAGTCCGTGCAAAACTCGCACTTACATCTTTAGCTAAAGCATGAACAGCCTGATTGGCATTCCTGCTGACATACTGAACATGACAAGACGGAAATAAACAAAATAACTGACGACAGAAAAGTAAAACTGAACCAACGTAAGAACGAAACAAATGTGCCTTAAGAAGACTAGAGCAAAGAACCAAGCAATCGAAAAACACCCTAATTAATGTTTGAATAGCCATTCTCCCGTAACCATGAAAGAGCCTCACGAACCGCCAATGGCTAAATAAACATTTAATTTTTATAAAAATAATAATTAAGGTATTAAATATTTGCATTCAAAAAAAAAAAAGTATTAAATATTTAAAAAGTTTGGTATAGACACGCATTTAAATTTGAAGTCCGGAAAATAGTTGAATAAATTATTAACCGGTAAACGTAATTTCAGTTAGGCAGATTTAGTAAAATAAAGAACGGTGATTAATTTAGCTTCATTGACCAAACTATTGCGTACCATACATGGCCGTCAAACATGCAACATCCTCGTACTTTCCTTCATTGTCGTTTCCATGTGCATTTAATTATTTGGTCAATTGTTGTTGATTCATTCTGTGCTGTAATACTACTATATATCTATCTGATTAGTAACTGAAATTTTTATGTTGATGGTCAAATCTTGACTCCGTGTCAGCCGGTTCATTTTCAGAGTATGAAAGTGAGACCAAATAATATGCGAATGATTGGCCGAATTGAGGCAGCAGCTTTAAGTCGGTCCAATGTTAGTTGCACATTAGATTCCAGATTTTTTCTTTGCTATGTACTGTGTACATTCCCTGGCCTGGCGGCCAGCTGACTTGGTCATCGTTAATTAATTTCCGACGTGGAAGTGAAATTACTTGTATAGGGCTAGGATAATGATTACTCTATGAACACGCAGAACAAAGACCTCGGACCTCCCAAAAACACTTTAATTTATTTAGAATTATAATTTTGTTACATAAGTTTCTCTTTAGTTTTTCTTAAATTTTACTCATATGACTTATTGAACTATTCATGCAGGCATAAATTTTTCTTTAGTAATCTTATGAATAAGTTTTTAATTGTTCAATATTATTTATATAATGGGGATTTACATTTACATTATGTAGAGTATAGATCGATTGAGTTTCTTGTAGGGTGTTAAAAATGTTTCTTTGTCACTATTTTCTGAAATTTTTTTTGGCAATCATCACTAATTGCTTTTCTTATTATATATATATATATATATATATATATATATATATATATATATATATATATTTTATATTCCAACCATCGGTGGTTGTGATCGGAACATTAGGAGTTCGTGCATGTGCCTTGTATGAATTATGACCTTTCGAAAAATGGTCAAAAAATTTGAATACTTTGTTCGGTAGTTGAAATTCGCAAGGAATTTTATGGATGTCAAAAGTGGTTGAATCGCCTGCTTTTAACAGAAAATCATCTATATTTGACGACTCAAAAGTGGTTAGTTAGACCGGTTATTTCCAATAGTGAGAGAGTTGAGTTTATTGTTATTGCAAGTACAAAGCAAGAAGGCTGGAGGACAAGTGAGATCAAGAGGTCGAGAATGAGATCAATGTTGGACAACTCATGTCAGGTGGATACAATAATGTTAGTAAAAAAGTGATTATGATTCCTCATCTTCCTCGGTTATTATATTGGAGCATGAACAAATCATTAACGTACCACAACTTTGGCAAAGTTAGCCTGGCCTAGTATAATTATTATTTTTTGGGTAAGGAAACTCGCGGTTATTATCTGAGTATATGTATTGGATTAAACCTCACATTGTAATCTTAGCCGACAAAATATCACTAGAAGGTAAAACAATCTAGATTATCCATAACTAACCGCTTCAAACCAAGAAGGTCAATGACTTATAGGCTACTCTAGCTTCTGTTGGGAGTCGAAATTGTAACATTGTGATTATCAAGTCAATAATCTGACTAACTTGGTTGGAGTTGTCCCTGCACCTAGTAAACGAGAAAAAGTAAATTAATCCCATTCACTACCAAGGCTTCTCATGGTAGTGATGTAACACATATTCCCCTAATCTATAAATAGTTCAACCCTGGCTAAAAAAATTTGGAATTTTTATCTATCAAAAAAGTGATCAGAAATGTAAATTTGTTATAACAGGGCGTTTGGTTGGAGGGATTTTAAATTCCCTTCCCACTTAATTCCCACCTAATTCCAAAGGCCATTAAATTCCGTAGTTTGGTTGGAGGGAATTGCAATTCCCCCATTTTCATGGAATTAAAATCGCATGCCCCCCCTGGGATTTTAATTCCTGGGAAAAAAGATAGTGATGAGTCAAAATTACCCCTTCCTTTTTTAACCTAAAATTAATGTCTAACAACAATAATGGACAATTTGACTTTATACTACTTATTCCCTTTCAATTCCCATGCATACCAAACATTGGAATTGAAATTCCCAGTAATTCTATTCCTGTCAACCAAACACTGGAATTTAAATTCTCACTTTATTCTCAGTAATTCAACTCCCATGAAATTACAATTCCTTTCCCATATAATTCCCCCCCCCCCCCCCCCCTCCAACCAAACGCCCTGTAAAAGTTAAATTTCGAAACAAATTTTTGACAATTTTAGTTTTCAAAAAAATACTTGTTACGATTTCTGGCTACTTGTAAAAAAATAAAAAAAAAATTCTTAATTTACGATAAATAGAAAAGGAAACGGAATTCACTGATTAATTAATATTAATAATAATCAGTAAAAATCAGCAGTAAAATATGAAAAAAAAAATCCTTACTTCACTAAAAATGAAAAAATAAATGAAATTCATTGATTAATACTAATAATAATAATCAGTAAAATTGAAAATAAAAAAAGGATTCTTAATTCGTTGAAAATGAAAAAAAAAATGAAAGATGGTTAAAAAAAAAGGGGTAATAATAAGAATAACAGTAAATTAAAAAAAAATCCTACCAAAAAATTTGAAAAAAAAAAAAGATCCATAATTTACGAAAGAGTAAAAGACATTTTTGGTCCTAGACTTATAGTGACACGGACAATTTTAGTCCTCTATAAAA